AAATATCTTTTAATAATCTACTACATAACTTATTTAACTTCTATAATGATGGTTCAGTAATTGGTATAAGTATAAATAACTGTACTATGAGTATTGGTTAGGTCCAAGTGGATTCTAATGACCAAGTTATTCACTATTTATTGCCAAAGTTCACCTTTGGCAATCCTCTTACAAGGCTAAATTTCTTTTTATTCTGTCTACTATTTCAACTACTTTTTAAAATTCTACAATTAATATCTATACAGATTCTTAATTTATAATATCAAAATTTATCTAACTTAATCAATTATTTCTAAATTCTAATAAACTCTTTAAATTTAATTTCTGGCCATTATGATATACATTACTAAATATTATTAAATCATACAAATTAAATATTATTTTTAATAAAGTTCAAGCCTATTAAGACAATATTCTTAACATCTAGCAGACTTACTTGTTAAGCAACATACAAATAAACCTTCATTACACTTTAACTAAATAAATATTTAAAATCTATATTATTTATTATTCTTTAAAACAGAAAAATTTCTTGTTGAACTTCCTATCAGATACTTTGTGAAAAGTATCTATAAAGCTTACAATCTTGTACTATAGTCATTACAAAAACAAAATGATGAATAGACTCCATTAGTCCACTATATTGACTAGAATTCAACTTGGTTATACTTTAACCATAATTAAAAACTATTCACAATCTTAAAATTAAAATACTCCTTAATGAACTATCTACTTAATACCTTTATTATAAAATCTATTCTCTAACCTTTTATAATACCAATTGCTTTTACTGCAATTCAATTATGTCACTATTACATTGGTACACTTGTGCCAATTCCTCTTTGCTTGATAGCATCATTCCTAATGCAATAACTAACTGTATAAACTTAGTCAATTTAGACTTTTCTAACAATAAAACTAAAAGACTTATTCAAAAAATTAAAGACCATTCAGCTTTCAAAGAAATACCTTTTTATCTATCTCTATATAACCTAGAAATTATTTTTAAAGATCTTATTCCCTTATCTCTAATTAAAACTATTCAGGATTTAGAAGTTCTATATAAACTAGCATCAACAATTACAATTAATATTTTGCTTAAAATTAACAAACAAATCTACGAACAATTATAAAAATCCTATTATATTAATTTCTCAAATTAGAAAAAACAACAACAAATAATATATATATATATCAATCAACAAACTCCATTCTTCTACAATAGAAATAATATACATAGTTATCAGAAGTTTATATATTCTTATTTCTGTAGTTAATCTGACCAACTCCACTCACATACTGGAACCTGTTCACTTATTGAATAGAGCTTTAGAAAAATAGTACTTGGGCCACTCTGTAGGTTAAGTATCACACAACTTCTAACTTTATTTTAACTATAAATGATATTATTTAGATAAGTTTCTGACCATTTTAGTAGGTTTAGATTACAAATAAATTAGATTTATTTAATTGTTTGAGCTTGTATTCTTGCATGTAATTTTTCTTTTATTTATACTAATATAAATAGTAAAAATGTATGTATTGCACATATATTACTATTTTATAAATTACTTAATAAAGATATGAGCAAGACTTCATCTTAAAAATATATATATATATAAAATATACTTATATAACAAGTTTATAAAATTAATAATTCATCTTAATTTTTTTTTAAAAAAAAAAAATTAAAATTAATAATTAATATATTTTTAAATAATATAAATATAAGTAATGGGGTCTCGTAGCCTAGTGGTCTAGGCACCCTTTTTTTCACAGACAAGGTCAAAGGTTCAATTCCAGCTGGAGGCAAAAACTCTGTAATTTATGAAAGCATATGAATGTACATGAAGCCCTGTAGCTTAAGTCCATGTGAATAAAAGATCGGTATATAAGGAAGTTTTCAGAAAGAAGTTTCATGATATGGAGAGTTGGTGCTTGATGCGAGAGAAGTGGTGAACATACCAGAAATGGAGAGAAGGCATACTAGTAGGTGATATGGTGAACATAAAAGGAAACTATAGAAAAAGAATGGACTTACTGAAATTCGAACACTTCTGAAATTAAAACTAATTTAGTAGATACAGGTTATACTAAGTCAGATCTAAGTAGTAATCTTGGTACCAGCTTAGTAAGCTTGCGTCAAGGGTAAATTCAAAGAAATATGGATACTTAGTAACATCCAATAAGGTGATACTTTGATATAAATAGAAACTAAGATAGTCCTAATCTAAATGTTACTACAATAGTAATGTAAGTATTGCAGATATATATATAAATAGTATTGAAAATCAGAAAGTTTAAATAGGGGAATCACAGGCAGGTATCAGGTATGGCATCTAGTGAGTAACCTGTGAACAGAACCCTTAATTAGATAATGACTAAAGTTATATGTGTGACTAGTTGTACTTTTGTTGATATATTATGTATATTATATGTAATCATATATTACTTAATAAAAAACATGCAGACAAGATTGCTACTTTAAATAAAAAAAAAATAATATAAATATAAAATATATATTAAGAGGTTTATTTTATATATATAAATATAAATAAAATTTTTAAATTTTAAAAAACTTTATAATTACTAACTTTTTTGTATATAAATAATATTAATTTTATTATATAAAATTACTAATTTTTTATATAGTATTAGAGAGAGATTGGATTTGCAAAATACAAAATCAAAGAAAATATGTAAATTTTTATTTAAAAATATCAAACATTATATAATGTTATATTACAAAAAAGACAAAATGATTTAGAAAGGCTAAGACATAAGTACAAGATCTAGATTTATTACTAAGACAGTTTTTATTATTATTATGAATATACTAATGATAACTATTTTTCTTGGTTCTTTCCTTTATTACAATTTAAAGAAAGATGCACTTATATACAAAAATGATGCCTTTCAAAAAGAGATGATACAGGGACCCAAGATCAAATATTTTCTTATCTAACTTAATAGTTTCAGATTCATTATTACAATAAGAACCTTAAATAGCCTCATGCAGTACAAACAACTATTTCAATCTGGCAAATCTACTTTAACAAATAGTTATAGTTTCTGATTTTGTATTATTATAACATTGTTTTAGTTGAATAACTTGACTTTCAAGTTTCTTGAGATACAATCAATATATATTAATTAGCTTGTTTTAGGAGCATTCTTACTGTAAGAGGGTATGAGTCAAGGTAGCATTGAGTTAGAGCAACTCTAGTACCTATTTTGTTCTTAAAAATAATAATCTAATTTAAATAGATAATAATCTTTTTATTATAAATTTTTTTTACATAATAATATAGTTGAAATTTTGCAGATTTATGCATTAAGATTATATTAAGGTACTTGTGTAATAGTACAAAAAATACTTAATTATATTTGATTAATTTAGAAATATATCAAAAAATTTTAATTTTTTAATTTTTTTTAAAAAAATTAACTAACTTTAAAATTTTTTTAAATAATATATAATTAAAAATTAATTTAATTTTTTTTTATAAATATATTTTATAAATCTTCAAATATTAAATATATTTATTTAATTGCAAGTTAATATATAAAATTTTGTATAATTACATTTTAATTTAAATGTATCAAATTGATATATTATACTTAATAAGATAACCAATATATTAATTAAAAATTATTTTATATAGTGATCCAACTGATATAAACACTGAGCAATTTGTTGCTAATAAAATTTGTTAACAAATCTTATTAAATATTTTGAAACTAGCAACTACTTTGAGTTTAAAAAAATTTCTATTCTTACTCAGTCTCTTGAAAATTTTATTAACAAAACTTTAAAAATTTATATTAACTATTTGATTACAGTTCATAATTAAGAAAAACTATTATATAGTAAAAATGCCTTGTCAAAATTAAGGCACTTGATTAACTTACTTCTCACCTGACCATTCCATTAGCAAGTGGATGTAATTATATAAATGAATTAGATCTTGATCTAGATAATATATAATTATTTTCAGATAAATAATACTTTATTTATTAAGCTATCTAAATAAATGTTCTAACAATTATAATACTTGTACAAGTTAATTAACATTAGTGAACTTATGCAAAAGGTATTGCTATTGCCACCCTTATTTTTGCTAATGCCACCCTTTATATAATCCAACTCTAATTAAGAATTAGGGTTAGGAATGTTGAAGGCCAATCAGATTAAGTGAGAAGGTAGCATTAGTAAAAATAGGAGGTGGCAATAGCAATTTCCTTATGCAGAATATGTAAATCATAATAAAATTTAAAAACTTTAAGTTTTATTATTCATTTTTTATAAAAAATTGTCATACCAAAACTACCTCTTATAAGTTCAGTGTAACTAACAAATAAATATTTCATTAATACTAGTGAATGTTGTATATATGCCAACTATATGAAAGATTTAAACGTGGTTAAGCATATGCGATATAGAAGCATATGATGATCATGGCCCAATTGTTCTATAGGGAGCAGGATCTTTGGGTTTTATTAATCATTAAATCATTTAATGATCGTGATCATGTAAACTATATAACATTAAATATCTAACATTGGTTATAATACAAGGAACGTTGGAGCTACAACGTTACATGACCATATACAGTAATGATGAACAGACCAGAATTTTAATTAACGCTGATTACACCGAAAATAGATTTTGGCATTATTCGAATAAAAAGTTCATTAAACCGACCGTATTAATATATAGTAATTAAACTTTCACCATTGTCATATCTCTTGTTAGAATTGATAGTTTTTTAACTCATACAATCATAATGATAAAACGAAATATGAATATTGATACAATGCATTAACTATATGTAATAGCATTACAAAATTTACGCATTTAAATACAGCATAAAAATCTTAATTCCTTCTAAGACTAGGTAATAAATCATTACTCTTACTAAAAATCTTTTGTAAAAATCAAACAAGTCAAAGGAAACAATTACATCCAAATTCATGTGATTTTACTGACATTTTAGTTTCTAGGCACGATTTTTTATCATTTTATTTTTTACACGTTCCCGATCATTTCGGATAGTAGGATCTTTTTCCGCAGCTTTTTGATACCATTCTAATGCTTTTTCCAAATCTCTTTTTGTTCCTTTACCATCTTCATAACATTGGCCAAGTTCATATTGTGAAGCAGTTAGCCCCATTTTAGCCACCTGTTCAAATAATTTAAATCCTTCAGCCATATTAGCATATGTTCCACGACCTTTTTGATAACATAATCCTAAGGTATGCATCGCTATTGCATTTCCTTCTTCAACTGCACTTTTAAGTAATTTAAATGCACGAGTATATTGTCCATCTTTATAATAATAGTTTCCAAGCATACAATCTGCTACCGGACATCCATCCTTACTTGCTTTTTCGTACCATTCAATTGCCTTTTTAATATTCTTTTTAATGTTCCAACCAACTTCATAACACCTTCCAACAAAATACCGTGCAATTACATTACCTTTTTCTGCTGCATCAAGGAATAAGTTAAATGGCTCTGTATCACTTTTAACTGTTCCGATACCCCAAATATAAAATAATCCGAGTAGGAAAATATGTCTTGAATTATCATTATTTATGAACAACCAATTAAAAACTTCTTCTGGGGTCTTGTTATGTTTGGACATGAAATTTATAATTATATAACTAACGGATCTACCTTCATTAAATAACTTAATGAAGGTTGAATATAGATTGGTTACAAAATGAATCATATCAAGTTTGTTGTCATCCGAATTATTTATATTAATGTCGCTATTCATATTACTAAGAGCGTTGCTAAGAAAAGTTCCAAAATCTTCAGAGATATCATAATCGATTTCAGTGACTTGAATAATAATATTTTTTAATTTCATAGCTACTTCTTGAATAGATGGTCGATTATTTGGCGTTCCCTGCCAACATTCTAGTTAAGTTTAAAATTCAAACAAAAACTTGTGATTACGAGATACAAAAATATAAGTAGGGTTCGAAACAGGCCACAATCGGGCCATATCACTAAGTGTTGATCACAAGATGATATTATCATGTGACCAACACTTTTAGGCGCGAATTACTTTTAAAGAAAGTCCGATTAGATCCACAAGCCGGCCCGTTTCAAACTGTAAATATAATCCATAGATTATAATGTAAACATACGCTCATAAATAGTAACATATTGATGAGGGGTACCAGCAACATGTTTCTCTCTTAGTTCGTCTACTATTATTCTTGATGCTAGATTTGCTGTGTTTAAATCATCTTTAAAAGGCGGTTTTTCACTTGACATTTCCCAAAGAATAACTCCAATACTATAAATATCTGATTTCTTATTCATTTTATGCCTGCGAGGTGTTCCGTCTTGACCTGCTGTCAATACAAAGCATTGCGGATCAATATAAGGGATAATTCCAAAAATTTCACTTGCAGTTCTAGAATTTGAAGCTTCGACAACGCGTTGTGATAATCCAAAGTCAGCCAATTTTAAGACATCTTCACTAATAAGTATATTATTAGAGTGCTTTCAAGGTAAGGAATGGAATTATGGACTTTATTAGTACTACAATCATAATAAATCGAGATCCGAAATTATTATAAGATTTACCAAGTCTCCGTGAATAATATTATCATCATGTAACCATTTAACTGCGTCTGCAAGTTGAATTGCAAATTGAATTTTTAACTCCCATTCGATGTTATTTGTATTTTTGAGCAAATAATCACGCAAAGTTCCGCCATCTGCATATTCGAGAACAAGTCCATAGTTAACTGAATTTTTTTTTTTTTTTTTTTTTTAAGAGTGAGGCCTGGCCTCGGTCTTTATTGAACAATTTGGTATTACATTAATGA